AGAGGTAAGCAAGGTAGTGGTCACCATAGTTACAGTGTCCTTGTGAGTTTCACTTGTTTTGGCAGCACTTGCTGCACCTCCCACAGCCCATTAGCTACCCAGATAGGATCTAGGGAGAGTCATAGGTCAAGCCTAATTATGCTAAGAGAGCTGTGCCCTCTAAGCTGGCACTTGTTTGTGGCTTTGCCAACAGGTCAGTCCGAGGCTTAACCCTATAGCCGCTCCCTACATGCAGGCATAGCCATTTTTTCAAAAGGCTCCACTGATGATTCTAATGGGCAGCCGGTGAGAACCACTGAGCTGGCCCAAGGTTCCCAGACGCATCCAGATGCTTGTGTGAGAATCTCCCGGGGAAAGTACTCACTACAACTTCCCAGGCCCCACCCGCTGAAGAGTCTGAGGCAGGGAGTTTAAGAAGCAGCGGATCATCCATCTCCTTCAATTTACAGATGAGGGAAAAGCAAGAGTTGAGGTGGCCCGGCTAAGTGAACGGCAGGGCTAGGACCAATACCTGGGTGCCCTGGCTCTCGCTCCGTTAGGTTTGTGGCTACTCAATGTCATGACCCAAGGCTTGCCTGGTAGAAGCTGGCCCTCTCCTCAGTGACAGGAAGTGGCTGCAGAACACGGCAGCGGGTAGAACATGGGCATCTCTGGCCTGTCGGCTCTGCCAGCCTCAGCAGACTGCGCATCCACCTGTAGATTGAGTCTGTCCCCTGAAGGCAGACGACTCGTGAGGCCCTGAACCAGCAGACCTGTGGGGACCCTCAGGACAGTTCTACCACCTGGGCCCTGCAACCCCCTACTCCCAGGCCCCAGACAGTAGGAACAGGACAGAACAAGGCAGGTCCACCATGGACCAAGGGCAGAAAACCCAACTAGAAAGAGGGAGGCATTCTTAGCCTTTCTGAATCAGAGACACTTTGAGGAGAGATGAAGACTAAGGATGCATCCCATAAAAATGCACCTGCACTCCTCACCCAGTGTTCCAAGCCGCCTGGAGACATTTCTAGGCTCCAGGTTCAGAATCCCCGCCTCCTAGGATGTCTCCTGGGAATGAGAGGGCGAGAGAGTAAAGGGCACCAGACACTGGAAACTTTTACCTACTAGAAAAATGTTCCGTTCACCACCCTCCCCCACACACACTTCCCCTCGCCCCAGCCCTTACTTCCTTTAGTCCAGCTTTGGTCCTTGAGGAAAGGAGCTCAAGGCTGGCATGAGGCCCCTGCCCCCAAGACAGGTTGCCAAGCTGGGGCTGGACAGAGGAGTCTGTGGGAGCAGGCTCCGCCAGACCAACTCTCCCACCCCAGCAGGCCCAGTAAGTCACCCCCACGCCCGCCTCCCCTAAGGCACCCCCGCCAGACCAACTCTCCCTCCCCAGCCAGGCCCAGTAAGTCACCCCCACGCCCGCCTCCCCTAAGGCACCCCCGCCAGACCAACTCTCCCTCCCCAGCCAGGCCCAGTAAGTCACCCCCACGCCCGCCTCCCCTAAGGCACCCCCGCCAGACCAACTCTCCCTCCCCAGCCAGGCCCAGTAAGTCACCCCCACGCCCGCCTCCCCTAAGGCACCCCCGCCAGACCAACTCTCCCTCCCCAGCCAGGCCCAGTAAGTCACCCCCACGCCCGCCTCCCCTAAGGCACCCCCGCCAGACCAACTCTCCCTCCCCAGCCAGGCCCAGTAAGTCACCCCCACGCCCGCCTCCCCTAAGGCACCCCCGCCAGACCAACTCTCCCTCCCCAGCCAGGCCCAGTAAGTCACCCCCACGCCCGCCTCCCCTAAGGCACCCCCGCCAGACCAACTCTCCCTCCCCAGCCAGGCCCAGTAAGTCACCCCCACGCCCGCCTCCCCTAAGGCACCCCCGCCAGACCAACTCTCCCTCCCCAGCCAGGCCCAGTAAGTCACCCCCACGCCCGCCTCCCCTAAGGCACCCCCGCCAGACCAACTCTCCCTCCCCAGCCAGGCCCAGTAAGTCACCCCCACGCCCGCCTCCCCTAAGGCACCCCCGCCAGACCAACTCTCCCTCCCCAGCCAGGCCCAGTAAGTCACCCCCACGCCCGCCTCCCCTAAGGCACCCCCGCCAGACCAACTCTCCCTCCCCAGCCAGGCCCAGTAAGTCACCCCCACGCCCGCCTCCCCTAAGGCACCCCCGCCAGACCAACTCTCCCTCCCCAGCCAGGCCCAGTAAGTCACCCCCACGCCCGCCTCCCCTAAGGCACCCCCGCCAGACCAACTCTCCCTCCCCAGCCAGGCCCAGTAAGTCACCCCCACGCCCGCCTCCCCTAAGGCACCCCCGCCAGACCAACTCTCCCTCCCCAGCCAGGCCCAGTAAGTCACCCCCACGCCCGCCTCCCCTAAGGCACCCCCGCCAGACCAACTCTCCCTCCCCAGCCAGGCCCAGTAAGTCACCCCCACGCCCGCCTCCCCTAAGGCACCCCCGCCAGACCAACTCTCCCTCCCCAGCCAGGCCCAGTAAGTCACCCCCACGCCCGCCTCCCCTAAGGCACCCCCGCCAGACCAACTCTCCCTCCCCAGCCAGGCCCAGTAAGTCACCCCCACGCCCGCCTCCCCTAAGGCACCCCCGCCAGACCAACTCTCCCTCCCCAGCCAGGCCCAGGAAAGAGGCCACACAGGTCAGTTGGTCAGCAGTGGTTATTGCACCATTGGCAGATAATGAAATGTGTATACATTAGCGACATCCACAGGGTCAGCAAGACAACCCACAAAAGTACCTGAACTGATTCCGTTACATTCTTCGTGGGAGGGGAACCAACAACGGAGAAAACACGCACTCACACAAACACACCACAGAATGGAAAGCAATAAATTATGGGCCTCGTTCCAGCCTGGATGCCAAGGAAAGGCACAGCCCAAGAGCAGAGCCTCTCCAGCCACCTGCGCCCGTCTCCTCCGTCTGGCCGTGGCCAGCCCATGCTGGGGGCCTGAGCACGTACTTGGAGCAGAGCTCGCGGACGTCGGGCCAGTTGAAAGTCTCAGTGTCCAAGGGGCTGAGGGGGCTGCGGCTGGAGGGCCGGGCCCCCGGGGAAGTGGTCCTCGAGGTGGCAGCCGGGGGGCTGAAGGAGGAGCACCGCGGCGACATCTCCCCGGCAGAGCCAGGCCGGGACAGGCTGTGCTCCTGGACCAGCAGCTGCTCCTGGTGGAGGGACAACACCGGCCTTCTCCTGCCTGCGAGGAGAGAGAGGTGCCTGAACCGCTGGGCGGAGGGGGCGGGAAGGGCGGCCCCTGAACTGCCCTCAGCATACTCTGGGCAAGGCTGGTTGGCGGGGGTTTGGGTGTGATGATGGAAGAGAAATCTCATTGACCATGCGCGGCCCCTTTATCAAAGGGAAATAGGAAGAATAAAGAAAAGGCAGTGGACAAGGATCAAGAGTCAAAAAAAGAAAGATGAGAGCTCCTGCTCTCCTGGAAAAAGGGGGTGCTGAGAGGGGCACGGCCATATTTCCTCCAGAGGCCCTGCTCCACGGGAAGGCTAGGGAGGGCAGAGGGAAGGCTAGGGAGGGAAGAGGAAGGGCTGGGGAGGGCAGAGGAAGGGCTGGGGGTGCAGA